GAGGGAGAGAGAGGGAGAGAGAGAGAGATGGAGGGAGAGAGCGAGCGAGGGAGAGCGTTTGGTTCTCTACAGGACATTTTTACATGTTTTATAATTTTCCCCCAAAATTTCTATCTCCCCCTCCCCAAAAAAGTCTCATTTCTATCCACTCGTGACTTCAAAATTTCTGGGAATTCTGTGTCTCCAAATGAGAATCTCGAGGTAAGCAGGAATATAATGTAAAAATATCAAAAGGGTCTGGCTACAGGATCTTAGGGGTTCGGGAAAAATTAAGCCTTCTTTGGTTATGATCTTGGTTTTTTAAATATCCAATTATTTAAAATCAAGAACATAAAAGCTCTGAATTTTCCCATTCTCTCTCTATGGTTGGTGTAATGTAGACGCTCTCTCCTTCTCTCTTCCCTTCCTTCCTTGCTCTGTGTCCCTCTTTCCTGTTCTTCTACCTTACTCTCTGGATGTCAGTTTATTAATCTTTATTGCTCTATTTTAAATCTTATCAGTCTGTTTACTTCTCTCCCATAGGGCAAATGTGGTTAAAATGGCCTAGTCGGATGAAAGAAGGCAGCCAACTTCACTTGGCCCTGGGATTTCTTTTACTCAGCCAAAATGAAATCTAGACATTAAGTAAAAAATCCAAGACACTCCCATGACCCCACTGCCAATAGTATGTCTGTTCAACAACCTGCCCAGGAGGGACAATATTAGACCAGGCTTCTCTATCTTTGATGGGTCCTTTAGAACAAAGTATCTCCCTAAAGAAATGTAGTTTTCCATTTGAAACAAGACTACTTGGACCCTTACCTTGGGCACTTATTTTGTACCTGGTAATAGGGACACATATGAACGAGGCAGTTCTCCTTGCAAAAAGTTCAGTCTACAATATGGATGAATCTTGAGGACATCATGCTAAGCGAAATAAGCCAGTTACAAAAGGACAAATACCATATGATTCCACTTACACGAGGTGCCTAAGGTAGTCAGATTCATAGATACAGAAAGTAGGATGGTAGTTGCCAGGGGTAAGGGGGAGGGGAGAATGGGGAGTTAGTGTTTAATGGGGACAAAGTTTCAATTTTACAAGATGAAGAAAGTTCTGGGGATGGATGGTGGTGATGGTTGCACAACAATGTAAATGTACTTAATGTCACTGAATTGTACACTTAAAAATGGTTAAAATGGTAAATTTCATATTATGTGTATTTTACCACAATTAAAAATAAAAGAAGTTCACAGTCTAGTAAGAGTTTTCCATAGGCTAACAGTCCTATAAGAGTTAGAAAAGTTAATTAGAGGTCACTTAGCCCAATGTTTCTCAAACCTTTCTTTTACTGGGACCCACAACAAAGAACTACATTTTTTATCATGATCCAATATGTATATGTCATGATACTGACATACATATATATATACATATATACGGTCACTGATATGTACACATATATACATACACGTAAATATACACATAACTGAACTATAAACGTAAATATATAAATATGCTTTATATTTGTTTATAAATATAAAATATAATAATATATGTATTTATAAACATATTTATTTATGTTTATTATAAATAGATAAAATGTATTTATATTTATAAATATATCTACAACTAAAAAATGGTACGAGAAACATTATTTACTATATGGGATATGTTCTTTATTTTCTGCTCTGTTTTATCCCATTTCATTAAAAAAAATACCAATTACAATCCACAAAATTGATTTCACAATCCACTAATGGGTCTCAATGTGCAATTTGAAAAACATTAATCTAGACCAATCTCCAACACAATGCAGAAATCTCCTCTATAGCCACCCTGCTGGGTAGTCATCCAACTTCTGCTTGAATGCTTCCATGATGGGGAACTCACTCCCTACAATGCTCTATGGTGGATCCATCTAGCAGTTAAAGATTCTCACCCCCTCCAAACCTGTTGCAGAAACCCTGGGACCCGCTGACAGGTGCTCAGGTGCTGGTGATGATAAGTGGACTTCAAGGAGGGGTGAAAACACAGTTTCTAGCAGCAAGATGGGGGTTTGGGGCAAGCTGGGGGGGTTGGCTGGCCCTACAGGATAGGGCAGGGTCTCTGAGAGACCAGCTCCCTTCTGTGGAGCTGCTGATCAGACCTTTCCCCTCTGCCCCCTCACCGCTCGCTCCAGCACTGTGATTATTTCCTCCTCTGACAGATGATCTCATTCCCTGTGGCACCCTGACTCCCCGCCTGTGGGAGAGGTTTCCTCCCTCTGGAGGGGGCCTCAGCCTCAGCAGAGACAGATTCCCATACATTCCCTCTCAACCTCCCACCCGCCCCGCAGGACTCTGGCAGGCCACCGCTGGGCGTTCCCTCCTACTATTCTCTTGGCCTGGGGACATGGGGGTCTCCCTGCCCAGGGTGTTTGGACACATTTCTGAGCCTCCCAGGGGTTCTGGAGACCTGCCCTTTTTCAGGACAATGGCACTCCTCCACACCTGACTGTGTCTTCTTGGGAGGAATAAAACAAAGACAGCACTGCCACGTGGGGACGGAGCTGGCGGCTGGACACCAAATCCCTGGGTCCCAGGGATGAGGAAAGGACAATGCCTAAACTCCTGGGAGGGCGGTGGGCTGAGCAAAGAGGCGCCCGGCGCGGCCACAGGCAGGGACCAGGGCGTGGCAGTGGGTTCCCGCAGTTTGCAGCTTTCCAGCTGCTGGACCAGCCCAGGTAGGATCAGGTTGACCTCAGGGCGGGGCGGGGCGAGGAAGAGGCGGTGATCTCATTGTATCCTTAGCACCAAGAGAAAAAAGTAACCCAGTGCAGGTAGAGGAGAAGGAAAAGAATGATACAAAATGGGAGGGGGAGCCGAGAACAGCTGTGGCTGAGAAAGGAAATGCAAGACCAGGGCAGCTTCTAGCTTGAGGGGGCTGGGGGTCAGAGCCGGCTCCAGGGGAAGCAGGACTCTGAACAAAACCTTTATCCCTCAGCAACAAAACATTTTTATGCAGAAAGAACTCACCATGGACATCTGACCCGAAAGAGACCCCGGCAATCCCCAGCCGTCCTCTGTCTCCCAGCTCTGGAAGGAGCGCCTGCAGCCCACCCTCGCCCCTCTGCCGAGCACCATTCTTTGCGCCTCACCCCATGTCCCCCAGGCTTTGACAAAGTTTAATTGATTGAGTGAAGCCAATGGCGACACAATAGATGCCAGACCCCTCGATTCTCCTCTCTGCAGCAGCTGTTTGCTTTTTTGTCTTTTGTCTGAAAGGCTTCAAATAATTTGCATTTCATTTCCACTTACCTGTAGTCCAGTTAGAAGCGAGCTGCTCGCTTCCTCACTCCTTCAATTAGTGGTACCCTGGGCTTCTCTCTCATCAGCACCACTGCTCGGCTCTCACCATGACATCACCTCCGAGCGCCGTGATTGGCCAACAGTGGGTTGCTTGGCAATTGGACAATCTCCTCTGGTGGAGCAGGGATTGCCTGAGTGAGTAACTCTTAGCAGGCCAGGGAGTGGAAGATGATGTCAGACAAATAGCCTGCTTTCCACGCTGCCTGTGGAGCTGGGGAACCAGAGGGTGAGGGTGGGGCTGCAGAGAGAAAGAGGGAGTGGTACGGGAGGGTGGGGGTAAAGGCACAGAGCTCGAGCTCGCAGCCGAGCCGCCCGGTGAGAGGGAGCACCTGGAGAGGGGGAACGATGAATGACTTCCAGAATCTTTAGCTCTTGCAGATCTGGGGGTGGGAGAATATGGAATCTAAAGGAGAAATCAGAAAGAACAGCTGAACCCTAAAAATAGCTTCCCGGAGGGCTTGGTGTCTGTTTCCAGCTCTGTCAGAAGGGCTGGTGGGTTTGAACAGTGACTCAGAAGGCAAGGAGGGGCTGCAGGCCCTGGAGCTGGGGAGGGCGCTGCACAGGGGTCCCAGGAGAGCAGGGCTTCCCTCTCGCCACCTCGCTGTGATGTTGGCCACACCACTGCTGTGGCAACTTCACCTGCACTAGTGGGTCCTCACAGCCCACCCAGCCCACCCGGGCCTTCCAGATGGAGGAAGACCGGGACTGAAGCTGAGGGTCATCACTACCCTGTGATTCCTAAATGACGTGGAACCCTGAGGGGATGAGAGGTCATCGTGGTGGCTTCTCTAGTTCCCTCAGGGAATGAGGGCAGGGAGTCCCTTGTGACACCTTCTCAGCCTGCTCACCCTCAGCCAGTCAGCTGGAGGTGGCAGAACAAGGCAGTTGAGGGACGAGGCAGCCCGGGGAGTGAGCCCCCTTCTCCAGAACACTTCTCCCGATCAAAGCCTCCCTGGGCGTGTTCTCCTCCCACACTGCCATGGCAGCTACAGACCGCTCCACCACCCAGCCTCGCCTCACGCCTGTTTTTTGGAGAGGGGTAAATTTCTTTTATTGGAGTAAAATATACATAACATAAAACTTACCATTTTAAAAATGGTTAAAAATGTATACTTAAAGTATACAGTTTGGTGGCATTAAGTACATTCACAGTGTTGTGCTACCATCACCGCCATCCATCTCCAGAACTTTTTTATCTTCCCAAACTGAAACTCTGTACCCATTAAACACTAACTCCCCTTCCCTTCTCCCCACAACTGGTAACCATTAATCTACTTCGTGTCTCTATGAGTTTGCCTATTCTAGCAAATTCATTACCTCATGTATTACCTCATGTAAGTGAAATCATACAATATTTGTCCTTTCGTTTCTGGCTTATTTGACTTAGCATAACGTCCTCAAGGGTCACCCATGTTGCAGCACATGTCAGAATTTCATCACCTCACCCTTTTAAAGGAGGATTTGTTCAACCACAATCAATTTCATGGACCCTCACCCTCTGCCACCACACCCCTGTTGACTGAGAACACACACAAAGACAAAAAGTTACACTGAATTCAGCCAATGCTTTTAAATTATGTTTTTAAACTACAAGAGCACCGGAGAGCATTTGCACATCACAGCTTGTCCATGTATAGGATGTGTGCTGGGGAGGAAGTGGGTTCTAAGGCCCTGACACTGACTCCCCGCCTGCACCCAGAGCCGGCACCGACTGGTTGGTGGCTCACTGCCCTGTGCCTGTGCTGTTCACCGGGGGTCCCATTTAGACACATAGCTCCAAACTCCCCACTTCACATCACAGGGGGGAGTGCCTGTTAGGTTCCACCCCTCTGGCCAACCACACCGAGGTGGGCAGAATCACGCATGACCCCCGAGAGCCTTGGGAGTTTTCCCAGCTCACCCGCACTGGTTCTATCGTGTAATCTCCCAGCAGCGCTGCAAGGGGAGCAGGACGAAAACCGTTCCTCTGTTTGAACAACACACTTATCATGCACGCCACATATCACTATCCCAGGACTCGGGCCCCACACTGGCCCGTTTCAGAGGGATCAGGAGTGCGTAAGGATGTCGAAATGGTTCCTCAACGTGCGGAGACAAAAGAGGCCACACTGCATACCAGGCTGGAACCGGGAAGCCAAGCAGACCTGAACCGTGTGGCCACCTCTGCAGTCAAGGGAGCCTCCCTCCCCTCCCGCAGTGGCGTTCTCCTCTTCCCTCCCAGCCCGGAGTAGTCGGAACTCCACAAAACCGCCGGCTCGGGAAAGTGAGGGCGGGGGGAGGAGACAGTGCGTTGCCACGGTGATGGCAGCCAATGAGAGATCCTCTGCTGCTAGGGGTGGGGAGCCTCTGTCTGAGTCCCCCTAACTGACTGACAGGAGGGTGGGGCTGGGACAAGGGCCCGGGAGGGAGGGACAGGACCTCACGACCTGAGAGCAGATACCAGGGTCGGGGAGAAGGGGTATGGGCAGGGCTGCCCCATTTCTAGAATCATCCAGCTACCATTTGAGTACTAAGCTGTGAGGGCCACATATATATACATTGACAATGTTGTGCTACCATCACCACCACCCATCTCCAGAACTTTTCATCTTCCCAAACTGAGACTCTGTCCCCATTAAACAGTAACTGCCCTTTCCCTCTCCCCACAACCCCTGGTAAGATATAACCGATAAATCTCACAACAGTCCTGTGAGACAGAGATGGGCCGCCCCATTTATAAAAGAAAGAGAGTCAGATGGGAACGGTAACTTGCAAACAGCCTAGCTGTTAAGTGGTGAGGCCTAGATTTGACCTTTTCTGGGAGAGGGAAGTACTACTGGGGAGAGGGAGAGTGGGTGGAGCCACCGCCCCTGGGGCCTCACCACCTGGCGGGAGAGTCCCAGGGCTTCCCTGAGGGGGCATAAAGCAATATGGTGATGGAACAAAGAAAGAAACATGGGTTTTGTAGGAAAAGTGCCAAGCACCAAGTTTAGAGGATAAAGGGTGAGGAGAGACCAAAACCGGGAGAGGACTCAGCAAGGTCAGAGCTGGGAGGTTCCTAGGGGTGGAAGGCGGCTTGGCAGCCTGTTCCTCACACCTTAATGTCCAAAGCTGCCGTGAGCTGCGCTGAGGAAGGTGGGTGAGCAGAGGCTGTCCCGGGCCTGCTGTGTCAGCTGTGGGTGAGCCAGCTGATTGTGATCAGTCCATCCAAATGCAGCGGCTGGACATTAGTCAAAGGAGCATGGGTCGCTCTGCTGATGCCACCTTCCACAGCTCAGGTTGCGCTGTGGTCACGACACTTGGACGGGCTCTTGCGGCCATTCCTAGAATCCCCAGGTGCTGCCTGGCTGCACAGTGGGGACTCCATTCATTTACCTCTTCCAGGGTGGACACGTGACCATCTGACAGTGGGAATCGGGACTCTGCATCTTCCTGCTGATGTTGAAGTGTGGCTAGAAGCAGGAGCGTGGATGACTGATTATCCAGAAGCCAGGCAACCAAGGGCAGTCCCTGCTCAATGACTGGACTCACCAATAACTCACACTTACAGCCCCAGCGGCGCAGAGGGGCGTGCCCAGTCCCGGAAGGGGCTCTGCCCAACCTGGAGGTAGTTCCGCTGTGGGGCCAACTGCACTGTCACCCTGGGGCCCTCAACAAACCTCTGATCTCTCTCCAAACCTCAGGAAATATGGTCCTAGCCTCACACAGCAGTTCAGATATCTGATCACTGCATGCCTGTCTGCTTCACTCACACCAATAAGGTTTTCTAAACTATATAATGTAAATGGGCATTTATTTTCTGCCTTTATTTTAGGAGACTAAAGTTTGGGGGACTTTTTGTGTAGAATGTGTTGAACTGAACATTGTCAGATATTTACTTAAAACAAATAAAAACATACGTGTGTTTGTAAATTTTTTTAAACTGTAAACACCATCATTTCACTTGAAGAGTGGCTATTGTGACTTGTGCACCCTTGTGACATCAGTGGCTTTCATTTTTTCAATTAACTGAAATACAAATAAACTCAGACAATTCAAATTTAGGCAAAGTTGCATTGCCAAAGCTGTTTGTTTATGCTGAACATTATTTGTAAACTGAATTGTAATGGCGGTTAATATTTAGAACAATAACATATGCTGTTTATAAAAACAACATGTATCAAGTGAGCCAAAACCTGTACGTCACTTAGGACAGTGCCTGACACAAAGTATGTGCTCAATAAAGGTTGGCTATTGTTATGATTGTCATTAAATCCAAAAGTAGATTACCCAGGGGTTTGCAAGTAACAGCAACCCATTTCAAACTTGTTAATAAAACAAGAGGATTTACATCAAAACCTGACAGTAAACACACACACACTAATTAGAAAATGGGCAAAAGATGTGAAGAGACATTTCATCAATGAGGATATACAGACAACAAATATATACATGAAAAAATGTTCAACACTACTAGCAATAAAGGAAATGCAATTTAAGACCACAATGAGATATCCATATACACGTATTAGAACAGGTAAAATAAAAAAATGACTACACCAAATGCTGGCGAGGACACAGAGAAACTGCAACTCTCACACAGAGCTGGTGTGAATGTAAAATGGTACAGCCACGTCAGAAAATAGTCTCTCAGTTTCTCAAAAAAACAAAACATACACTCACCATACAGCCCAGCAATTGCATTCCCGGGCATATTCCCAGAGAAATGAAAACATGTCCACACAAAAACCAGTACACAAGGCTCATGGCAGTTTTATTTGTAATAGCCCCAAACTGGAAACAACCAGAATGTCCCTCAGTAGGTGAATGGTTAAACAAATCATGGTCCATCCACATCATGGGAGACTAGTCAGCAACCACAGTGAATGGACAACTGATGTACACAATGACTTGGATGGATCTCAAGGGAATATGCTGAATAAAAAAAGCCAGTCTCAAAAGGTCACAAACTGTATGCTTCCACTTATAGAATATTCTCAAAATGACAAAATTATACAGAGATGGAAAACATATTGATAGTTGCCAGGGATTAGGAACGGTGGGAGAAGGGGTGACTATATAGGGGCAG